GCCAAGCGCGCGTGTGGTCCTTCCGCCTTTCATCTCCTGGCAAGTACTAAACATCGAACTACATTGCATTTCGAGATATGCGCGCGTAGCAATCAAAATATTTGAACATTTTTCAGATATCTTGAGCACGTCGTTCCGCCTTACCTTGAGCTGAGTGAAAGAGCGTGACAATGTGCTCGTGACAGCACGCATTGCCTTCAAAGGCAGTATTTGTACGGAACAAATATCCGGACAAAATCACTTTGCAGTTTCATATGCAACCGGCTGTAGTCCGCCTAGCTATACTTCATGGGATTAATGCGAGGGATTACATATGGAAAAACACGCGCGACTTGCTACTTGAAGCTGAAGTTTAGACATGTGACAGAGTACGCGCGGCAACAAACAGTAGCACAGACTTAGAAGGGCAGCGGTATCTCCAGGTCTTCAACAGCCCCACGAGTAGCGCATAGTAGAAAAGAGATAATTGTGTATTCTTATACGGTCTCAATGGGTTTCGTCTAGGGTAAAGGCGGGGGTGCCCATGTTCGTTTCAGGACTCTTGAGAGTACGTCGGGACGTCATCACATACTCGCGGATACTCCAAATCTTGTAAAGAAAAGAGGCTAACCATGGACGAACAATAATGGACACGTCCTTGAGCTAGGGTGTCGAAGTGAGCCTGAGGAAACGATGGCGACTGGGACGGTCCCCGACCGAGCAAAGTCAGAGAAGTCCGCTTCGCGCTTTGACATTCAGCCACCACGACAACGGCATTCCGCTGTCCTTTGACCCTTCCCTACTGTCCCGGCACCGATTTCCTCTTGGCAGAACGCAAATAGTAGTGGGTGGAAGATATGAAGATGGGGAGAGCGTGACGGTGCGAGCCAAGGTGCGAGCTCAGGCCGAAATATTGAACGCTCGCGTCGGAAGCCGCAGGCAGGCTCCTCTTTGACCCCAACCGCCTGCATCTTTCCTCGATTACTCCCTGCATCTCAGCATGGCTGCCAAGTCAGTACTCGATGCGCACGTACAGAGCCATGTGCTGAATCTCAACGCTTTAGGTCCCTCGCATCCTGCATCTTCTGCAAGATTATCAAGGGTTGGTAGAGTTCTTGCTGTGCGGGGGATATAAAGTTGAAACTGGGCATGTGCAGGCGAGATCCCAAGTTACAAGCTTGTGGAGACAGATCTGGTCTACTCTTTCCTTGATATCGGTCCCTTGTCGAGGGGACATGCGTTGATCATCCCGAAGTGTGAGTATATGCAACTCAATTGTCGAATTACCTCGAACTAAGCACGCGAGCTCGAAGACCACGCTGAGAAGATGCACGAAACTCCGGACGAGTATCTCTCCGCGACTCTGCCTGTCGCGAAGAAGATTGCGCTCGCCATCGGCGCGGACGACTACAATGTCCTTCAGGTGCGTCCCACTGGCCACTCCGCTCGAGGAGTGGCATTAACGAGCCCTCCTCCTCCTAGAACAACGGAAAGCTCGCACATCAGGAGGTCAACCATGTCCACTTCCACGTCATCCCCAAGCCGAGCGAGTCCGACGATGAGGGCCTGGTTATCGGCTGGCCGACTCATAAGGTCCCGCAAGAGGATCTGAAGAAGCTCCACGAAGAAATCCTCCTCAAGTTGTAGCAGTGTGTAAATGAAGAATAAAGATACGTCTGAATGTAATGTATATTTGTCGTGCTTGAGGGCCTGCGCAAGGTGTACCGCCACGGGTACATCGTACAGGATAAGGACAGGCCTAACCGCCGCGAGGTGGAGGTGGAGGTGCACGGCGAGGCCTAGCGCCCGTTGTACGATCCCGTCTGAAACGCCGCTTCAGCACTCGAAACCGCACTCCTTCAGGTACTCCAGGCTGTCCTTCAACGTCTGAGTCGCCATCAAAGTCTGTCTACAGCCAGACTTTTGGAAACCCTGATATGCGACATTTCCAGTCGCAACGGTCGTAAGTGTAACGAGACCCGCCTCGCCTCGCGAAGCCCTGTGCATGATGATACACTACAGGATCGTTATGGTGCATAGGTGCTTGCTGGCCTGCGATGTATATAAGCTTGCCCGACCGCCGTAGCCAAACAACACATTCCTCGCCTTCCTCGCCTCGACAACATCACAGCTCTTTGGACTCTACGTCGCTCACACGGCCATGCACTTCATCATCTCCCTTGTCTTGGTCTCGCTACCACGACTGTTGTCTCGCTGCCGTCCCTCAAGTACCGCTCCGAGGGCCGCGTCGCTCGTCGTGCCGGCGGGTCGCCCGTGTTGACCCGCAAGGCAGACAACAGCCCTCAACCCGTGCTCAACACAGGTGAGGGTGGCGCCTTCTTGAATACGACTACAGTGAGTCTCCTCTTATGTCTCTGCGTAATGCGTGTGCTGACAGACTTGACTTCCGCATAGGGCACAATCATAGGCGCCACCGGGACGTTCGAGATTCCGACGGCTAGTGTGCCTGTGGGCATGGACGCGTCTATCAGCTACATTGCAGCCGTCGAGCTCGGCATTGATTGGTTCATCTGCCAGACTGGCGGTATTCTGGCTGGTGTCGAGCTCGTCGTCGAAAATGGTACACAAACCAATACACGTCAGTCCGCACTCCTCGCCCTCCTCATTGCATGCTGACAAACCATTTACATTCTCGCAGCCTTTTTCCTAGGTTTCCCTGGCGACATCTTCTTCCCCCTGGGCTTCAATGTCTCGGTGGGCGACAGCCTCACGATAAGCGTCACCGCGACGAACGCGACGTCGGGCACGGTGGACTTTATCAACCAGAGCACGGGCCAGACCGTCTCCGAAGTCGTCACCTCCGGCACTCTGTGCTTGAAGGAAGTAGACTGGTTCGTAGGGGTTATCGCAGACCCCCCAGTCCCCTTTGCCGACTTTTGGCGAGGTCAAGTTCACTGGTGTGTCTGCCGAGACCCCCACAGGTTCTCTCGACATCTCTGGCGCGACCATTGTGGACCTGGTGCAGAACGGCACTGTTCTTACTTCCGTCTTGACCTCGCCCTCGACCGTCGATATCGTCTACGTCTAATGCGGCAAAAGGGATGTAGGACCAATATTTATTCAACATCGCTTGTATGCTTGTATACGTCGTGTGTAGTTAGAACTTCTGCACGCAACACTCTGAAGACATACAGGTCTGTTTTCAGGTGCTTTTTATATGGATATCGGGGCGCTAAGTGTTCAAGGTCTTCGTCGGCGCACGAGCACCGGTACGGTAAGCCGCATGGGTACCAACGATCATCTAGATTCTGCGCACTAAGCCTCCGCAACATCCTTGGCTTCGGCCAGTGACTACAGTGAAAGAGCTCCTTCTTGAGCTGATACCAGGAAACTTCCATGGCTAGCATCAGTGTAAGCCTGCAATCGATGCATTTCTCGTGAAACTTACATGTTGTCGGGCTGTTTATTCGTGTCATGGCGTTCGTGTTGCATTCGAATGACCATTAACTCTGTCTTCCAACCATCCCAGGTACCGATGTGGCGTTTGTCTTCTCATTAACAAATAATGCACCAGCAGGAACATCTGTAGGTGCACGTACAGCTATCCCTGACCCAGGTACGACATAAATTGCAAGTACAGCATTCGTAATGCCGCTTATACCAAGTGAACTACAGGGCGGGCGTATATAGTCCATGCCCGAGGCTGATGCCATGCGATACATCCTCGACAAACACACCTGAGTAAAGCAGCGCCTCGGTGTCGCCCTCCTGGATACCAAAGTGGACGACGTCACCCTGGTCTGCGGCAGTGTCGTTCGGGTTCACAAGCGGCAACTAGCACAATCGTGCTCAGCGCCTTGCTCAGCGCCTACAACAGTGTGCGCTTACCTTGAGCACGCCAAAGTGGAAGTCGCCCTGGCCCGCGGCGCCGGGAGATGCAGACAGGTTGGGTGCGGGCTGGGTGACGACAGCGAGCGGCGCGGCGTCCGTTGAGTACAGCACCGCGAGCGTGCGGTTCGTCCAGTCGACCTGCACCGCGAAGTTATGCCAGGACGACGGAGTGAAGGGCGTCTCGAAGAGGACGTTGAGCGCGTGGTCGCGCACCTTGAAAGAGTGTGCGTCCGGTGCGGGGAGCGGGCCCGTCGGGTCTGTGAACGGCGAGCCTTTATATATTGCATTAGCTCTCGGTCGCAGGTCGTGTAGATAGAGGTATAAAAGACGCACCGAGCTGGAGCTCGAAAACGTGCGACCCATCACTTGGTTCGATGAACACGATCTGGTACTCGTGCGTGAAGTTCAGCGGGCGCGCTGGGTCCTGCTTGATGCTGACGTGAAAGACCGTCGTGCCTGTCTCGAGCACCGGGTTCAAATCGTCGTGGTCTCCGTTGTTTGCCGCGATGAACTCCGTGCGTCGGAAGCCGAACTGAGGGCCACCACTGCCCGGCACGAAGACGGAGGTGTTGTCGATCGAGATGGAGATTACCTGCTCGCGCGGCAGCACGAGAGCGTCGTTCCAGAGCGGGGTTGGCAACTGGGCATGGCCTAGGAGCGAAGAGTACTGTGGCCAAGGTCAGCATGTGGAATGTGACAGATGTGCGACGCATACGTGAGTCGCGTTGTCGCTGCCTCTGACCACGCTATAGTCATACAATTAGGGCGCGTCCTGCACGATGTAAGTTTACGAGCGTACGTGAGGAATGGCCCCGTGTTGCTATTAAGATCAGCATTCGTCAAGTTGAACGGTGCACGTCCGTCCCACAAGACGGGTGTCGCAGCGATGAATGCCGCAAGCGATGCAATGAACGTCGTGCTGGCGAGCAGGTGCATGATGTGCTGGCATCTGTCAGTCGTAATGGCGCGTTTTGTAGGGCTCGAGGAGAAATCAAGGACAATTTTCGGCGACCGCGCCGAACTCGGTCAGAACGCTACCCAGGGCGGAGTGGGTCCAACAGACGAGTTATTCGCGTCAAAGGCGGTCAGATGATGAGGAATGGCGCAAAGAGTTTAACAAAAAGCGTCTTCGGTTGTTATACATGTACATATTTGTCCTCTAGATATCACATAAGATCTGCGTGTTAAGCATCAGCTTCGGGAGACCCTCCAGGGAACGTCAGGACGAACCTCAGTCTACCAGGACCACCGAATCCAGCACCGAAAAACCAGCAGCAATACCGCCTTCATTGCTCTCCTTGCCCTTCGTGCGAAGGAGCCACCCGACTTCTTTCTCCCGCACTTGCCCATCCGTCCCACCAAACAGCGCCCAGCCGAAAATCCCGAGCTCGCTGATGACCTCCGCCTGGACGGCGCCCTCAGTGCCACCGCCTGCGCGGACGAGGTAGTTGCCAAGGCCCTGCGGTGTCTGGATAAGCTCCATGGCGATCCATGCTTCGCGTTCATGCACAGGTAGCGCGTCGAGGAAAGGCGGGATCGCCCCTTTATAGACGTTATTCCCGCCGCCCTCACGCTGCGGCTTGAGTACGAGATTTGCGTGTTCCGCCCGTGCTTTCTGTACACCCTCGTCGCCACCTTCGTCCAGTGCCCACATCGCCATCCAGCTCTCGCGAAGTAATGCGATTTCAGACTGAGGGAAATCGGACAGGAAGGACTCCAGCACGCCTGGCTTGGTGAGCACTTCTTGCACTTTCTTGCCACCGGCAAGCTGCAAAGGGATCGAGGGACACTGGATTGCACGCGAGCTTTCGAGGAGATAACGAGTGTCGTAGTGTCCTGGCGTCGGATAATTTGTCACGGTATAGCCTTCGCGGAGGTATACAACCGCGATTTCAACGCTGTTGACTTGCGACAGGCTCGAGTCATTTATCAAGAGCATGCGGGAGATAGGGTCAACGGAGGCAGACTTTGCAAGCTGATCAAAGGTTTGCCGGATGACACGAATCTCATGCCTGTTGGGACCTATCAGAAATTTGCGAGTGTGACGCGGCTCTACACGTACTTTTCGAGGAGCTCATACTCCAGCCATCTCTGGTCGAATACGTTCCGCTCTCCTTCTTGGACAACAAACAAAATCCAAGAGCTGCAACTCTGTTAGTGACGTTCAATTCCATCTAACGAACGGCACTAACTCTTGTACACCGTAAGCCGCATGGGCAGCTGCCAATCCTTCGGCTAGACCAGTGGCTGTCTCGTTGGCGGGGAAATTCTCTTCTTTCAACAACGACGAGCTCCCGTAGTATCCTGTAGTCTTGTGCAGATGTCTGTTTTTATACGTCATAGGTATGCGTATAACGAGTTAGACGGCAACTCACCTGTGCAGGGCCGCGACTCGCTGTGACAGCGCTCCGAACGAGGACGAAATCGTGTTAAACTCGACCTGTTTCAGGGACGCTGGGCCGTGGGGATCGGGACGATGAACCATGTAGTCGGACCTGAAAAGTCCGAGTTGAAGCGGCTGCGTGGCGTGGCCGTTCACGTTTGTCTCAGCGGTGGAGGAAAGCAGGGGGTACGTACCCTAGCAACTCCCTCATCCCGCACGCGCCGCCAGCGCCGCCAGAGCTCGCCTGTAAAGGTATCTGTGCGGCCAACACCTTCCTCTGCGCCCATGACCCGGTCTAAAAACGCGATGTCCGTGGCGACGCGTGCGTAGAGCACATTGTATGCGCGCTGTAACGCGCGGGCATGGTCGAACAGGTCACGCGGTATTGGCGAGGGAAATAGTGCGAGTGGAGCATGGATCGTGGAAGTCGGTGCTGGAGGCTGCTCCTTCGCTACCGGTAGGTAGACAAGTCCATGCGACAGCGCGTAGGTTGTCGCCTGCAGCGTCAAGGCTTGTAGCTGCTCCTCTGTGATTGCCGGAGGCCACGACGCAAGTGAGCCGTCGCTCATGGCAGCGGGGCTTAAGAGTAGAGGGAAGGGAGAGAGTTTAGGCTGGTAGGAGGGCAAAGAAAGTGAATGCAGGCTTTTAGCGGGCCTTGCAGATATGAGATGGGGAGTAGAGGGGCTTGGTAAGCCATCTCTATCGATCATCGCGCCATATTTGCTCACAGATCTCGCAGAGATTACCTGCGTCAGAGAGGCGAAATGGAGAGTAGAAATCAAGGGGTGTGTGTAGTTCAAGCCGAGAGCAGAATTACTTGTGCACGGAAGACGGTCGCGCCTTCCGCGCTTTGAATAGCTTATCTTTGTGGCGTAATGAGTAAATAATAGACTCAAACGTGGCTTCATGTATTTCTTATCTTTGGTCAATATATATATAGTAACACCGGTAACAAGTGTACTTACCGTAACAGACGCGTTTCTAGAAGACCGTATAATAGTTAACCACAGCTCTTCATGCATCACACGTTGCGGTTTCTCTCAGCACGATGGACAATGAGAGTAGAAACATACGCAGATAACGGGTAATTACATGGGCCATACAATACAGTAGCGGATTATACACAAGTACTACGCCACAAAGACAGACCGAGACTCGACAAGAAACACTGGATGTGGGGGTATCATTCGGGAGATAGGAATACATGAGGATGAGACACAGCGGTCGTAAGGCTAAAGCGTACTCGCAAACCCGGATAGATAATAAGAGACTGAGAGGAGAGTTGAATCAGAGACCCAATGGAACTTGCCTGCGTCGGGGACAACCTCGAGCAGAGGAGTAAAAATTACGTGCGGGATGCGAAGTGCATTTAGGCAGCGGCTCAGGGCCTGCACACGCTCCGGCTTCTTAATCCGGGGGTGTTGCCGTGCACAGAGCCAGGCGTGCCTCCCGCCGTCCGTACACGGCCCGTGTGGAAGCTCTGGGCGGACCATGGCAGAGAGCATAGAGAGTTTGGAGGTACACTCTCCGCGCGTGCCGCCTTTTCAGGAGATTCTAGGCTCCGGCGGCGGAGCGCAGGTCGCGTGCGCGCCCACGCGTCACGCGATGCGCTCCGCGTAACTCGGTGGCGATTGTCGTCAGTACTGGTGCTGTCGATATCCGCCCACGGCTCGCTCGTGAAGAGGTTGTCATCTTCAGGTAGCACGAGGCGGCGGAGTTCGCTTGTCGGCACTGCGGAGCGCGAGGTCTTGCGTCCACGCGTGGCAAGCGCGGTAGTGACATCGATGGGGGACAAAGGTGGCTCGGACGGACTGCGCGAGCGTGAATCGGACAGATCGTCGCGCCCAAAGGAAACTCGACTTGTCCGACCCCGGTCAGCCGAGGACGACGATACAATGGAACGCGGGGACTCGATGGTGTAGTAGGTACTGCCCGACGACGTGGAGGCGCTGCGCAGGATCGAAGATGGCATCGCCACTTGGGGTGGCTCTGATAAGTCGTGGTGCTGTGCGGGGAAGTGCTGGTCATGTTGGTACGGGTGGAATGCAGAGAGTCGCGAGCGGCTGCGCCCGGAGTGTGACCGGCTCGTTCCTCGTTCCATGACCGGCGACTGCGGTCCTTCATCGTCTGCGAGAGCGTGTTCTGGAATTGATGCAGGGCGTGATCGGGAGCGCGAACGCGTAGGCGGTAGCATCTCGCTTGGGCACGGAGCTTCATCATCGGGATCATTACAGCCGATGCTCCAAGCGACTTCGTCGACCATATCGACAGTCCAGCGATCTTGGACAGAGCGTTCGAGGCAGCCGTGGAGGATGCTCTCTGATCCTTTTCCGACACCTTGCGGCATCTCGTAGACACCTATTATGGAGCAAAAATGTGCATAAGCAAAACGGATGTGCGAGCTTGTGTGTACTTACCTGCAATAATCTTCATTTGTAAGCGAGGTTCGAAAGAGTCGGAGAATGGCATGCGTCCCATCAGGAGCGCATATAGCATGACTCCAAGGGCCCAGATATCTTGAGCTGTGTGCACTCGGCGCGGAGAAGTCGAATTGGACGGCGTGAGAAGCTCAGGAGAGGCGTACGGAAGAGAGCCCGGTAAGAAGCGGAGCTTCGATTCGGACGGCCCAGGAAGCGGGCTTGAGGTGCGGTAGCGAGGCCCGCTTCGGTGTTGCAGCACAGACAAATGAGATGCAAGATCACCGGGGAACGCTTGTCTGCTCCGCGAACGCTTCTCTCGTAGAGAGCGAGACTGGCCAATGGTCTGTGCGCGGGTGATGCGAGTCGGCCGGTCTTCCTCGTCGCCTTCAGACTCGAGCTCTCCGATGCGCTTTGACATTCCAAAGTCGCCAATTCTACAGACACCCATGTCGTCTACAAGGACATTCTCCAGCTTCAAATCCCTATGTGCGACCCCCGCCACCTCGTGCATGTACCGCAGCCCTTTCACCACCTGCCGATACATCCTGCCTGTCTCGTCAAGTGGGAGCGCCGGGCGTCCGTCCCGCTTAAGGATGTCAAACAGGCTGCCGGCGGGGCAATACAAGGTGACAAAGAAGTCTGCATAGGGCGTGTGAGACGAGGTGAAGAGTGGCAAGATGTTCTCGTGACTCAGCGATGCCCAGACCGCCGCTTCATGGTCAAGCGCCGCGCGCGCTTTCATCGGGTCTTCTTGTTTGTCGAGGTCAGACCGGCGTACGATCTTGACAGCGACAGTATCGCCTTGCCGAGATGACGCACGGCGCACAATAGCGAATGCGCCGTGCCCGACGATGGGTCCCAAAACGTACCCAGCGACTTCTTCTCCTTCGGCATCGGGAAGAGCGGTGCTGGCAGCCATCGGACTGAAAGCAGACAGGAACATTGCAGCTGGCGAAGCAGAGATCTCTGTCTCCGTAAAGTCACTTTGCGAGACCGGCGGACTGAAGAACGGATCCTGGAAGGCTTCAGGTGCGGAGTGCGCCTTGAGATGTGCATGATGTGCCATAAAAAACTGCTCGGACATCTTTTGGTCAGAGTCAGGGCTCTGCAGCGTTTGTTCCGGAAGCCCAAAGAGCTTCATGTCGTCTTCTCCACGGACCTCGGTGTCGGCGAAGAGGGCAGGTAGCTCGCGTCCTCGTCCATGTCGGCGGTGATGAAAGTTCAAATCGTGAGGGTATAGTTCAGTTTGCATCCAATACACGAGAATGTGGGTGGTGGGATGGTGGTGGTCAAGAGAAAGAGGGATTTTGAAGACTGGGGTCAGCAGGTGCGGAACACGGGCCACCGGCATGATTTCCCTTTCCGGCGTCGCGGAGTTTATTAGTATAAATGAAGTTAACCCCAACCTTACCACGCCAAGAGTAAATACGCTCCCACACTCCCCTATTCAGCGCTTAGCGCTCAGCTCTGAACATCGCCCTCACGAAAGCTCGCGTCTCCGTAACCTTCGTCTACAACGCCGAATACAAAGCTCGAGCCTAAACTTGCACTTTCTTAACATGGCTTTCCACGGTCTTCCAGATGGTGCCTGCCTCAGATACCCGGAAAACCTTCCACCGCATCCAAACCTGACCCATGAAATGGCGGCTCAGATGCTTTTGCGTGCCACAGGTCTCTCGCAAACAGTTCCGTTTCAGTGGGGATACATAGACAGACCAGCTGGTGAGTTGTGTGGACGATAGTATGTGTGACGTTCACCGCGTCTTGACCTCCATTTCCTGATGTTTCCCCGCTCATCAGATGGCTCGCTGTACCTTATCTGCATCCTGCCTTCATATCCCTTTCCCAGCGACGGATTACGTTACCAGGAGCAAGAGCAGAGATACACCATTCCCATCGGCAATGGACGCGTACGTCTCATGCATTTTCGTTTCATACCTGTGTCTCATATTCCCAACGCGTCAGGAACTTGAAATGACAGAAGTCAAGTTCGGTTTCGTACCCGGTCACGAGAACGTCGCCTCACGGATCCGCAGACGGTACCGCTTGGTGAAGGGCGGTAACCCCCAGCTCATCCTGATTCACTACTCACGCGGCCAGGCCATCCGTGCGTCTATCCTTTAAATCCTTCGCTGACTGTTCTGACACAACTTGCGCGCATCAGCCGTCATCCCCTCGCTCAACCAGCCCGTCCGTTCCTATCCTCTCCGAACCATCAATGAACCGGCCGTGTTCATCGCTGGCGAGCGATCGGGCCAGAAGGTTTTCCCTGGGGGTGGTCCGGGACCCATGCCAGACAGAAGCGGTTCGATGCCACCTGGCGCCATGGGAATGCCGTTTGGAAACCCGCAGGTGATGCTCCAGCAGCAGAATGCCAGCATGGAAGCTCTCGAAAGACGAAGTCAGAGGGAGCGGGACAGGAGCGGAAGTGTCACTGGCGTGCGTCGTTGTGTTCCTTCACTCACACGTTAGTCATCCTAAATGCAAACTCAGAGGCCACCGCCGCATCCCCAGCAACAGACTCGCATCGAAGAAGACGAAGTAGATGGTACGTGCCCTATTGCTCGCAGCAAGATACAGCTCTCATCCGCCTGATCTTGCAGAAGACAGCGAGTCAATAACCATCCGCGCACTGGCCTTGACTCGGTACCGCCGCAATCATGATTTCATGAACGAAGTCTTTATGCACGCTGCATACGGTGCGTCGCAATTCCCCTTCTGTGCATCTCGCTTCTCATGGCTACATCGCCTGCAGGGAAGCAGCTCGAGCCCAAACCGCAGCCAAAAGGCTACACGATATTCGACAAGGACGAGCTCAATTCCTCAATAGTGCGTATCGCATCCTCACTTCACTTCTGACCTCATGCTCACGCCTACATGCTCGACAGTCGAAGCTCGAAACCGAAGTAGCGGAACTCGAGGCCAAGGCAGCGGCACGTCGGCAGGCGAAGGAGGCAAGCGAGCTCGCAGATGTCTCTATGGAGTCTCACGCCTGAGTGCCTGCTGTGTCGAGATGCCAAATGTTCCGTGTCGGGGCTGAGCGCTGAGCGCTGATGTGTGATGTCTTCCGCCGCTACTAAGAATATATATCTTTACAGTCGCGCTGCGAGCTATCTTTCTAATTTATCTCGCTTCGCAGTCGTCCCCTTCTCTGCCCACCGAAACACAGTACGTGACACCCCCCTGTGCGACCAGACGTGCACGCTCCATGCCGAGAAGAGCGTCGCGAGCGCTTGAGCCGTGAATGTTTCGCATGCTTTCATCCGGATCTCAACAGCTTCCCAAGGCTCGCTCTCAAAGTGCATTACCTCCGCTCTGTCTCACACCTTCAGCAGCTTCGACAATCCCGCCAAGAAGTAAGCCGGAAAGCCGACCGGGATGACGACGCTGCCTACGCTGTGCATGCTACTTCTTTGGTCTTGTCTCACCTCTTGGTGTGCTTCCTCCAGTGCAATCAAGTTATTCCAGTTCGTGGATACCCCCAAAGGGCGGTTCGATCTCTTTCAATAATGATCTGTCTTTTGAATAAAACTGTCCTTAACAACGGCAAAAACCGAACGTCATTCAAGTTGCCCTCGCCAGTGGCCAGTGTATTCGTCGTGAGACATGGCCCGCAGAAAGCCCGCAGCCCCCGATTCCGATGATTTGAGCGCGTAGTATAATAGACGTGCTGCGCTTATACAGCTCTGTAGGAATATTTACTCGTGCATCTACATCGTGATCGTCATCTCGCAGTCGCGAGATGCGGTCTTTCCAGGTGCGGTGTTAGTACATGTTAGTACCCTTCGGAGATAGATTGAACATTAATTATGCCGGTTCTCGGAATGCTTTATATGCACGCGGCTTCATCTTTATGCTGATCCTTCGAATCGGGATGAGGAACTTCAATAGCTTCCGCAGCTTCAGAGTGGATGCCGCGCCTCGTCTAAGAGGCAAATTCTCGATCCTCTGACGAGTAATCATCATGGTACAATATCGACTTTCGACAGGCGACGCCACATACAATGGTCATGTCCGTGTGCTCCAAGCATCCTTTATCGGGAACGAACTACCAAGTCAACTTCGCCATGAGGCGACAACCATCTGTACGCCATGGTGAAACATCGCTCAGGAGCTTCCGAATGTACTGTAAGGTAAGTGTCAGTCTTGTACAGATCCTGAGGTCTCTCTCACAGTCTGTCCCTTGTATTTCCAGACCCGGCACTAGCGCGGCGCCCTAGAGCCCCGCCCGACGCATTTTGTGCTGCCACAGCCCCACGGAAGTCCCAAAGCCAATTCAGCTGGCAAGCCGGCGCTGTTATCGATCTCTGGTGAGGGTGTTCTCAGCCACGCCTCGTTTCAGCAAGGGATTCGGCCCGTCGTCAGTGAGCAGCCGAATCAGGGTGTCCTCTTGTTCCTAAGATGGGAGCGCTTCTCGGCCTTGGAAGTCTCTGTACTTCAAGTACGCTTCAGCACGGGCTGGTCGGAGGGCCTCCCCCTTCTTCCTCTGCCGTTCCTCACCTATCGCGGTGTCGTGTAGCTGCGCCATGGTTGGAATACCCCCAGAGATCGTGGACGAGATTATGTCATATCTCCAGCCCGGCCCACTCGAGCTACTGCAGGTCAGGGCCAGCGAGGAGTACACGGAGAGCACGAGAGCCATTGGACAATGCACCTCCGTTTGCAGGGTCTGGTATGAGCTGTCACGCCGGTATCGCTTCAAGGACTGGGTCATTACGCTCAGAGACCCCAGTAAGTCTTGTCGATGGTCGTCCGGATATGGTCGCTAGAAGCTGAACTTACGCTCAGCTTACAGTCCCGATGCGAAAACGGTTGCCGACCTCCTCGCATTTATACGACGATCTCAGTTCCCTCGTCTCACCGTCCGATCTCTCATCATGCGCAATGATAGCCAGCAGGTGATGGCTGCCTTCCAGACGGCGGGCATGGAGGGTGCATGTAGCGTGGATTTCTCGGCTTCCATTACGGAAATCGTCGGGATAGTTCAAGCATTGCCTGCATTGACTACGCTCAAGCTCTCCTATTTCAATATACTCGAGCTGGCTCGACTGCCAATCAGCGACATCCAGTCGGCCTTCGACCATATCACCCATTTTACATTCGCAGGCCGCGCGGAGATCTCCACTGGGAGGTTTATGCCCTACGCAGAGCTCTGCACGCTATTGTCGTACTTTCGTTCTCTCGAGGAGCTTGTCCTCGACGATGTCGACATACTCAACGCCAATAAGAGCGACGGCGCCGACCTGCCGCAGTTGCCGAACCTGCAAAAGCTTGTAATACACCGCTGCGACAACATCTTCCATCTGGTAAATGACATCACGGACCAGGTGGATGACGGCCGGCTGGCTCTTCTACACCACCTTGAATTGGGAATGATCAACGCGAGTAACCAGGCCGTTGCCCACTATCTCGTCAGTGCACTGGCGTCGCAACTCACGAGCCTTGCCCTTGGACACGACTACACCTACAGCCTGCTGGAATGTGAGTGGGTCCAGTTTTCCGTTTTGTTGGCTGGCTCACCAGTCCACGTACAGACATCAACACAGGAATCTCGTCTCTCGATTTTCCGAGCTGCCCGAAGCTCGTCGAGCTGCGCCTGATTATGGATCTCTCTGATCCAGAAGCACCACACCCACCGCACGCTTTCGAACACCTCGCGCGCATGCTCGTGTCTGTCACCGGGCCCGCCGACACCGTCCAAGAGCTGATCATCGAGTATGGCGAGGCGCCTGCGGTGGTCGCGAGCGTGGACGAGCCAAACTTCGAGGTCCTCTCCGACGTGACGTGCCAGACCCAGATTGAGGTGCTTTTGCCGTGGCGCTTCAAGGCCCTGCGCGCCGTGCGCTTTGTGCCTTTGCGCGAGTACAGCTTTGCCGTGTTTGCGGAGGACGACCAGGTGGTTGTGCGAGAGAGCTTCCGCGGACTCGACTTCAGGGGCCTGTTGGTATTCTAACTGGGTTGCAGGCTTCGTCGCTGCGAAGAGTGAGTAGTTGATGAGGTGAGAGGTCGCGCCGTCATCATGCTTCCCTGCCCTTCCCCTTTTTATGTTTACCTCTCCGTTTTATTTTCCGCATGCTAATTTCTGCTAATCAAGGAAACTTCCGCACACCCACCAGAGCGTAGTTCCAACCCCTCGAAGCTTTGGCACCTCGATTGGGACATCTTTGACGAGGAGTGGCCCTTCTAACCCTTCCTTTTTACGTCTAATAGTCTATGCTCGTGACAGGTTTTGTATACGAACGCTCTCGTAATCCGTAGTCGGTAGTACGTGCGCCGACAACGCGCCGCAATTTGACTTACCCTGATCGTTGACCGATATTTGTGGCGCAGAGATAAAAAGCACAAGCCCAAGAGCAGTCGTATACCACACTCCTGCCTTACGACCTCACCGTGACATTGTGGAAAACCTGTCAACAAGGGTTCCTGTGAGGAGCTAAGTTACTACGACGAGATTTAGAGTATCTGGTGCGGATGCGTCAGCCTCTCGCCTTGGCTTATTATCTGCCACGATGTTCCTCTGACGGAATTTGGCAACAGTCGTGGTTTGTGTGCCGTCTACAAAAAAAAACTACACGGCAATGTTTTTATAGTCAGAAAGACGCAATTTTCAGGTTCTATCATAAGTAGATCTACTGCTCTAGACGGGTCGAGGGCGTGGCCATCTAAGATAGTAGAGAGTTCGGCATTCGCGGGAGCAACATGCGACAGGACGAGGTCCGTTTAATTATTTAGTCAGTTGCAACCCTAGCAACATTCGCCAATTGCCGGGCGCTCTCATGAGATATAAGCTCGATCAAAAGGATAGAAACTCTAAAGTTGTGGCACGTCAAATACCTTCGGCAGCAGTTTCAAGCATGTCAAAGAGATCGCCGGGCAGGGCGAAGATCTTGAAGTTTTCCTCGATACGAGAGGGCGTGACGCTCTTAGGCAGGACAACGGTCTGTTCGAATGCATCTCAGACTCAGTCTCGCCTACATGACTAGTGAGAATGACGTACGCCGCGCTGGACGTGCCACGAGATAATGACTTGGGCGGGTGTGATATTAAGCTTCTTCGCGATTTCCGTGATCTCGGGCACATTGAGCGTCTCCTTCGCCCGTTTGCTGCCTCCGAGCGGCGAGAATGACTGGAGCAGAAGCTTGTTATCGCGTGCCCATTCGATCAGTTCGGGCTGCGGATTCCAGAAGTTGAGCTCCACTTGGTTCACAGCCGGCTGATACTTGAGTGGATTGCCGGTCAGGTTCTTGACCCTGATACGAAATTAGTGTATGTCGCGACGCATGCCATTGGGAACCGCACCTCCCAATGTTGAAGCTACACAAGAATCAGTCTTCATAGAAAGCGCAACAAGCACCTGAGTACTCACTTGCTGATACCGATGTTGCGGACCTTGCCCTTGTCAACCATCTCTTCCAGCTTCTTCCAAGTGGGGTATGGATTCGCGGTCAAAGCAACATCTAGCTCGTCCTTGCCGCCCTTCTTGTGCGCAATGGGCCTGCAGGTATTGTAAATACGCTCCAATGCGTATGCATAAAGTGGCTCACCAATGAATGATGTATAGATCGAGATATTCTGTGCCGAGCTTGGTCAAAGACTCATCGAGGGCCGGCTCAACGTCGTCCGGTGCGTGAAAGGTAGTCCAGAGTTTTGAGGTAAGCCATATCTGGTCTCGAGGAATGCCACTTTCCTTGATGGCCTTGCCAATCTCTTCTTCGTTCTGTGCCACCTGTGAATATTGACGCGTTGAACGAGAGAATCGCGTACCCGATATGTCCAAGCACCGTCGATGTGCCTGTACCCAGTCTTCAAAGCTGCGGTGACAGCCTGCCCAACATCACCCGGGCTCGCCTTGGAGACACCTGATTAGTTGAAAACCAAATAAACCGAGCTCGGATAGCTGACCGCTCCTGTACCAAGCGCAACCGATGGGATCTGATCACCTGAGGGTAGCAAGTAGTAGCTGGGAAGTTCAGTGTTGTAGTTCCCTTGCGTCCTGTTGCACGGTTGCTTATGTAGCCATTGCACGGTGGACTTGATATAGGCTTTGAGTCCCTTAAAGCCTGCGAACATAATGGCGAAGACGACGAGGAAAGCGAAGAGGGTTCTCTTAATGCGATTGTAGCGGAGCCGCTTTTCCAACTGCTGCTGGGCCTTAACATCGTCGCCCGAGGCGAGTAACTCATATTGAACCCGAGGCATGGTCGTCGTCGTTGGGAAAGACCAAAAGACAAGGGCGCCAATCAGAGGCGCCAGCCGCTATGTCAGGGGCGTCTAGATCTGCGCCGCGCTTGCCAAAGTAGGACACAAGCTGTATCTGTACTAGACGGTGCAGCCTCTTTCCTGTTCATTTGAACGTAGAGCGCGGCAAAAGCGAACGCACGAGCTGATGGAACTTCTGGTAGCCGACTCTCTGATACGGCGTCCGGCGCGGTCGGGAGATGTGTGTCAGCCTGGCGCCCTCCGCATTTGCCTCACCAGTTCACGATGCACGGACTTTCGTCTCTCCCTTTTACCTCCACGTATTCAACCCAACAGTTTCCCTAGGCTAGCCCTGGCCCTGGGGCATTGAAGCATGTCTATAGAGCCCACGTCGAACGTCAAGGTCGACGTCCTTGCAGGTCATCTCGGCCATCTCACAGAGGCACAGCAGGAGGCGTTTGCTTCCTTCCGCAAGAATCTCGCTGAAGCTCAGCTTTACGTACCAGCCGACGATGGAGTCTCTGAGCGTGCATCTCACGATGAGCCCACCTTACTGTACGTTGTACGTTCCTAGTGTTTTTAATAGCCGAATGCTAACATCTCTGCAGACGCTTTCTCCGGGCCCGCCGGTTCGACCCAAAGAAAGCCCAAAGGCAATTCGCGGATGCTGAGGCATGGCGAACGAAGAACAATGTAGACGAGTTGTACGCGACTTTCCCCGTGGACGAATTAGAGACGTCGAGGCGATTCTATCCCCGCTGGACAGGCCGTCGGGATAAGGTGCGCAGTTGAATGCTACACAGGCTGTATCCACATTCATTTGAGTGCATTATCAGCACGGTCTGCCGGTATATGTGTACCGATTAGGGTCGCTTAATGGTAGTTTGCAGAAAGAGCTGAACACTATTCCTTCGGAGCGGAGATACCAACGAATGTACGTCTCTTCCTCCACGCTTTCGCAGCCTTCCACTAACCTTGCCTACTAGACTTTCCCTCTACGAAGCAATGACGCGCTTTGTTCTCCCATTATGTACCCATCTTCCTCACTCTACATCTCCGACACCCATTTCATCGGTCACGACCATCATCGACCTCGAGAACGCCTCATTGGGCACGCTGTGGAATTGGAGAAAGCACCTTCAAGAGGCCTCGGCGCTCGCCACAGCGAACTACCCTGAGACTTTGAGCACAATCGCCGTCGTCAACGCACCATCGTTCTTCCCAACCGTCTGGGGCTGGATCAAGGTACGTCAAGTGTCCCCCGCTTTGTAACACGCTTCTCACTGCACGAAAAGCCGTGGTTTGACGAGGGAACCCGTAACAAGGTATTCGTGCTGGGAAAGGACCCAGGCTCGACTCTGCGCAGCCTCATCGACCCACAGGACTTACCAAAGCCGTACGGTGGCGAGCTCGAGTGGAAGTACGAAGATGAGCCATCGCTAGACGCAGCTGCCAAGGAAGTTATAGGTGAAATGCCCAAGGGACCAGTCGTATTCGTAGACGGCAAGGTTGAGCAGCCACCCAAGGGCAAGATTGCTGCCGGAACCAGCCAGACTCAACCGTAGTAGTGAGTTGTGTGCTCCTCAGTGCTCCTCCTAGTTGTAGATCTAGATAATTCATTTATCGATGCTTATATTGGACGAACGTACATGGTCACTTAGCTCGTCTTGTGTATTCTGCACTTCAATTTAGGTACACTCGTCCCTGGCATTGGCGACCCCTAAGACTGGTTGACGATTCGGTATCTGTACACGATATGGGCCCTGCGCCATACCGGCCAACCCTTAGCATGCGCACTTCCGCACTTATACGCCGCTTGGCAGTGCTCGCCCATCATTTCTCAGCACATCCTCAAGATATCACACGCAGACGGTCTTCCCATGTAGGCCTAGGCTCGATACCAGCCAGCCATCTCGCGCGGAATATCGTCCAGGGCAAACTGCTATCAAGTTGGTGCACTTCTTCCGTGGGATGGCGACAAGACCAGACGCTTTGAACATGCCGGCGTCTCCACAGAGGTGAGTGGCTTCCGTTGTTTGAGACAATGCAACGGCAGAGCTTCAGCGAAGCAATGTGGGACACGCCCCCTCTTGGCAGGGCGCATGCAGAGGCGTGGGTAAAGTACTGGAAGGCGGCCGACTACTTTGCGTAACGTCCCGTTGTTTGCTACGTCCTCGAGATAGCTCACTTACTAAATAGAAGCGCGGTCAGCTGGACTTATGTCCACAGCTCTTTCCTCCCAAGAATCACGAAATCGCAAGTAGTGGGTAGTGTTGAAAACTTTCCCGATCGGGAGTAGATGCACCCTGGGAACGACATTGGTCACCGATGTACAAGATCCACCACATAACCACGCCTGTCATGTGCGGGACTTTTCCTACTCTCGTGGCCGTCTCACCTTTCAGTCATGATGCAGGCGGTAGCAGACATGTCGGTGCACAATCGCTGGTAAAGCATACGATGCGACTTAAAGCAGACGCTATTCTCACTATGCCGCAACAGACGATCTAGCTTATTCTCTGCAACGACTATCTTTCCTTCTGGGCAGACTCTGATCCATAGTATGTCTGGTATCAGTCAAGCCTTTTCTCTCTTACAACCTGATAGCTAGGTGCATTCGCCTCCGAACCACTCCCAGCCCATTCCGTAAACCTTGATCGGTTTTAACATAAGCCATGGTTCAGATTGGCTATGCGAACCCGAAGGTCAGTTTTCACATGACCCTGAGCAAAGGCTTCCCAAACGTGCAGTTGCTGACAAGCAAACTTGACCAATTTGACACCAACGTTTGAATGTATTTTCCCACTTTATCTCATTTTTCACGCGTCAAAGCCCAAACTTTCCCCAATCAGTCTAACTTCCAGCCCGAGAAGTTCTCCGATAGAGCCCAAAGTGCCTTTCGTATGGGCGTCGAGAAGGTCTAAAGATCTTCCGGCGCCATTTCGTCGTGGCCAAAACTTCGGAGGTGCTTTTTTGAGCTCCCTTTGCCTTGGTAAGTCTGTTCCTGCATTCATTTTAGTCCAGAAAACTCTTCCACTATATTGATCAAGTCCGCTTGGACGCAGCTATATGCTAATCGACTACGTCAAAGCTTCTCTCACAAGGCGACGTGCTTTATTGGACCTGATGCGTGTCTCGCAACGGCCGTGAACCGGAGCACATGTCTCCTCGTCACTAGGTTGTCTCGCCAAGCAACCTTCCCGTCGTCTCAAGATACTTTTCTTATATCTTTCTCTGTTCCTCCTTTTCCTTCTTACTCAGCTGTATATAGGACATGCAGTGGTGGCACACAGAACGAAGAAGTGAAGACAGAATCTCACCAGCATAGCCTGAGTTTACGACTGCGTTCTCGGCTCCTCGCGTTCCCAAGTGGACTCTACCGCTCATCTGCACGCGTATCGCGGCTCTCACGTCCTCTTCGCTGATCTCGCGCTTTCTCTATAGGGTCTGACGCCAAAGCATCACAAGGTACGTCTCGTGGGCCCAATTCTCACAGGAAGCTCCATGGATACAATAGTTGAGGCGGGCTCGAGGTGGAAGTTTTTGATTTTCCGCGCTGGGGATACATTATGTAGGCCAGCGTCGGACTTCGCGAAGTGGTACCACTGCGCACCGCCTGCCCATCACGTCTAAGCCACAGTCAATGGCAGCACCAGGGTCGCCTTCAGATAGCGTAAAGCTAGACTTCGAAGCCAAGGAGGCTGCTTCGATTGAGCAACTAGATTTCGTGTCCTACTACGAGAACAATGCCGGGCGGCTTGTCGTCGCTCCTGAGTACGTCTGCGTCTGCGTCTTCGAGTTCCACGGAACGACTCATGATTGAATGTCCACAGGGAAGCGAAAGTGGAATTTGGAGAAGAGGTTGCGAAGGCCTTGAAGCTGACCCCTGATGGGACGACAGTTCTGTGGCCTCAACCCTCTGACGATCCCGAAGACCCCCAGAACGTACGTTCCAGCGCTTTCGATGCTACCGATGCAAAAACTGGTTCATGCTTGGACAACAGTGGTCGAACGTTCGCAAAGGCTTTCAGCTTTTCATCATTACCTTAGCCGCCATCGTGCCCGATTTCGACAACGGCGTGGGTAAGCGAAAGTTATTGTGAACAATTTTACTACCCGCTCACGCGGTTCCACAGCGACTGGAGTTCTGTTTGCTCTCTCAAGACAATTCAACACGACGACGGGAGAGATAAATGACTTAACGAACAAGTTTGTGTTCAGTTGTTAGCATGGTTGCTCACTTCTCACTCGTCGCATAGCTGGAGCATATTTCTACTCGGTATGTTCTTTTCAACACGCTCAAAAATCGAGCTTATGTACTGCAGGGTGGGGCGGTATATTCTCCGTTATGCTCATGAGACGGTACGGACGACTGCCAGTCTTGTTCTGGTCTCAAGTTCTCTCTCTGGCCTTCCTACTTGGTAATACTTTCTCGCCGAACCTGAATACCTTTGCTGGTACGTACTTTTGCTCGAGTTACTGGGAATATATTGTTTAAGTACCCATGCAGCCATGCGATGTCTGAACGGTTTTTTTGGGTGAGTCCTGACAGCCGCATATGATTTGTGGCTGACGAGCTATACAAAAGGACGACGCCTCAAGTGACTGTATGACCTGATATCTGCACTACGTGATTCTAGCACTAAGTCTATAATTTCAGGGCCTATACGTCATCTCCGACATGTTTCCTTTCCATCTCCAAGCCCGTAAGGTTAGTCAGTTCAAAGCTTGTTGAGCGTGCGCTTCCTCATCATCTGTTCCTTATCAGCTAAACATCTGGACAATGGGATTTATTGTCTCTCCGTTCATTTCTCCCATGGCGTTCGGATTCCTGGTGGCGGCAGCAAAGTACGATCTCTTCTGCTCTTCGGTTACGAATGTTAACACTGCATGATGTCAGCTGGCGTTTGTCCTATGGCATTGCGTGCGTTTACGGTGCCGCAGTGCTAACGCTGATAGCGCTTTTCGGCGAAGAGACGTACGCTCGAACTTGTTTATGACATTCTAATGAGTTCTAACGAACAAATCTCGTAGCATGTATGACCGCTCCCTGAAGGATCCTCGACCGTACCCTCTGCCGAAATCTTGGATTCGAAGGAGATTTGAACTTCTGTCTGGAATCGTTGGCGCTCGCATGGCGAAATTCAGGGCATCCTGGAAGGAAGTGTCTACCATCTGGGTCCACCTGGCATGGAGGCCACATATCGTCGGTATTCTACTTTTTGAGGTAAGCGCGGCTGTAAAAACTTACCCTTGCATTGCGTTGACTCAGGCTAGGCAATGCTGTTTGGGTTCGGTATTGGCATTAACGTACGTACACCGTTGCGGACGAGCTTACGAGCTGAGGGGGTTTTACGTACTATCCAGGGAACAAATGGCGTCTTTCTAAGCCAGCCACCGCCTGTAGGATATGGATTTGACCAGATACGCATTGCAGGATGCTATGCAACGCCTGTCGTTGCAGTCGTCCTAGGAGAATTACTCGGTCGTTATCTCAACGACTGGATTATGCACCTCTCAATCCGTAGAAACAACGGTGTGTTCGAGGCTGAAAGCCGACTTTGGTAGGTTCCGTTCTAGAATGGTGTATTCTTCCTGCTGAAATGGCACAGGGCATGCTACGTCGCTGTGGCGTTCTACACGTGTGGCATGATACTGCTGGGTGCCGGATTCCAGAAGCATCTCAGCATCGCGGCTTTCATCATCGGATGGGGTCTAGTTGAGATTGCCACTATGATAAATACCACAGTTGTCTGTAAGTATGAAGTCGTTCAGCGTCATGATAGCCAGCTAAGAAGCGGCAGATGCCTATCTCAACGATTCATTTCCTAGATTCAAGGCATGTCTTAGAGCTCCCTGCGTTACTAGTGTCTTACTAAATGAGATAAAGGGCGAGATGTCAGCTATGCTGAACCTAGCACGGACGCTGGGGGGCTTCAGCGTGGCGTACTTCCAAGTCCCCTGGGCACTCAAGCACGGAGCTTTGCAAACATTTGGATGCGAGGCAGCTGTTGTTGCGGCGCTATTCTTGCTTATCGTACCGGCGCTGCAGCTGAAGGGGAGATTACTGAGAGTAAGTCACATAATTAAGAATGATGGTTTCTCGGAATAGCTGAAAATAGTCCCAGAACCGGTTTTCGATGTAGCGAGAGAGCCTTCAAGTCGATTGCCGTGAACTCACATCGAAAGCTAGCAATGGATGGGGGTTTTAGTTTATATGTCGAACTGTTTTGGAATAACATCTCAAATGCAATCCCCTTCTGCATTTTCCGTGTGTGATCTTGACTACTCCGGGATTAGGCGCACAGTAGGATCGCTATCTCGGAGCTTGCCGAAGCTATGACCGAATCTGTTCGAGGCGTCGCTGATTCACCACCTACCTCAGTTCTTTATTTTTGTCAGGGTTTTCCTATTCGTCTTTTCTACTTTTTTGGGTCTCTCTGTATGTCTTCAAAGGGCTCTTTGGTCGGTTCTATCGTTGAGCGTCAAGCAGGAGCATCGGCTGCTGCACCTACCCCGGGGCCGACGTCGAATGGTGGTTTTCCAGGAGTGCAACACAGATCCAAAAGCGCATTCCAGCGAGCACGAGACAATCGGAAGGACTATTCTGCTGTTGACCGGCCATCTGCACCTCCCTCAATAACCCCTCTCCATCAGACTCAAGGAGCAGCGCCAGATGAAGACGTAGACGTAGACGAAGGCCATGGCAGTCGGATCATCGCAGAGGCAGCTGAGGACTGGAGGAGGCAGATGGAAGAGGAGAATAGACGAAAGGTGGAGACGATGACTGAGGAGGAACGGGAAGCAGAGAGGCGGGAGATCTTTGAACGTTTTGGACCTAGCATCGGAGAGGTGCTCAGGAGAGCTCGATTGGCGAGGGCGGCGGCGCAGTTGCAAAGCAAGGATAATAAAGATGAGCGGACGAGTCGGCCGCATATCGACTCCAAGGTTCCCAAAAGTGCGTCTTTAGGTTACTATGCCGTCGGAGGGCGATTCATCGTCGCTGCAGGTGCTCTCGCTTCACGACCTGCGTCCCCGATTCCACTCTCTCCTGACGGCAGTCGACCGCCCAGCCGTGCAGACCGTCACTTACGCTTTGCGGATGTCACCACCAAGGATGTCCATGTCTACGAGTCCGCGCCTCCATCTCCCAAACGAAAGCCGCTAGCTCTTATGTCACCGACAGTGGCCGATGGGCCCACCATTTCTCTTGGAGACTTCAAGAACAAGGGAAAGCTTGTACCTAGCACAGCAGAAGCTGGCCCCGCAACATCGCCAATGGCTGTGGATACGCCTCCTATTGAGCATCAACTCGCGACCGATGGGGACACAATCGAGGGCACGCCAGAAGACATTCGCCGTCGTTTCTTCCCTAACGCAGCTCCGCATGATCCATCACTTGCCTGGATAGAAGGCTCTCCGGAGACGGAAACGGATTCCTTGCCGTCAGTCCCCCGATTTGATCTCGCAGGGAGGCCTATCGCTCCTGCAGATGCAGAGAAGCTACCCACGCATCTCGGTCTCCACCATCATGCAGAAGGCAAGCATGCCGGATACACACTCGACGACATCTTTCTACTGTCACGCTCGACAGTACCCGCTCAAAGAGCGTCGATGTTAGACTTGCTTAGCAAGATTGCACGACAGCTATCGAAGATGGCCCGCCGGCAGGGAAACAATATCCAGGAGCTCGCAGGCCAGGAACATGATCTCCATAAGCGCATGCTCGCCGCAGGACTCGAGGCAATGCCAGAGCGAGGCACTGTCGGCATCAGGGCCGTCGATCTTGTCTGGGCTTGCGTCGTTTTCTGGGACGACGACCGCGACGTTGCCGGGGTCGAGCTGAGAACTTCTACGGACGAAGTCCTCTCACCTTTGCCGATAGAGCACATTCTCTCTCAAATCGCTGACGCGTTGGGCGCTGCCGTGTTTCCTTTCGAGTCCCTGCTCCAGCTACTTGAGGTCCTTCATCGCTTCGCGCAGCACAGCAATGATATCGCATCGTCAATTGTGAACACGCCTAAGCTGCTGGCCAACGTCATGCGACGATTCGTACTCCTTTCATCCTTGCAAGAGGAGAGCCTCCATCCCGAGCCAGAAGCTCTGCGGCTTCTCGACACAATTGCGCAGTCATCACGCCAGAACGCTACGGTCATTGCAGAGTCCGCCGAGACTCTGCTTCGTTTCGTCATTGCGCTGCCCTCTTCGTCGATGTATCCCGAACCGGTGGCAACTGCCCTTCTCTCCACGACTTTCCGCCTTTACACCACCTTGGCCAGGTACGGCCTCTGCTCTCAGCTAGCTACCACTGCTGCAGAGCCGCTGGATAAGCTCGGTCGATATATGCTATCTGAGTCGTGCAAGTCGGACGCCCTTCGCGATGCATGGCTTTTACTGCTTGAGGCGTGGATGGTCTGTGCTCGCGATCCGCACAAGACGACTCCTAGCCACGACATACTCTGGAGTCAGATAGCCAGCTGGGGTTGGGGCGAAGATATTCTGAAACTACGAGAGCTCATCGCCCCTTCGCAGACAAGATTGTGGATTGCGTTGTGGCGAGCCGAGTCTGCATGGTTGGAAGGCACTTCTATCAACGCTCCAAAAGGCGGCGAAGCAGAGAAAGTAGCAGCACTGTCGGCGATTCAGGACGACTTTACTAGCGGCAAGGCGAAGCAAGTCGTAGATAATGCAGTCCAAGCACTCGAGGCCACTCTCTCGTCGTTTTCCCCAGATGACATCTTGTGTACGGCTTCATGGAGACAACTTACCGAGCCTACGAACGCTCTTGCAGAGGCGCTTCGCCTCTGGTTATCTTGCCTTCCTTCACAGAACATTCCCCTCGTCGGACCACCTTTCCCCTTACCATTCATCGAGATCTCGGCGCTCTGCGCATCTCTTACCCTTCATCCGCTCTGGAGATCAGTGCGCAACAAGGCGGTACCCTCTCATATTCTTCCTTTCGTCAGGTCGCTTTCGCTGCTGTTGTCGGTCTACCTCGACTTTTCTCGCTTCCTCCCTGGCACGTCAGACGATGCCTGGCTTGCCCAGGCGTTTGCGATAGGGCTCAGGTTCGTTCCAGGAGACGAAGAGGTAGTGATCCATCTGCTTGAGTATGCGTCGTCGCTCGTCAGTCCGGCTTTCATGGAGACTCGGGGATGGCAGATCCCGCCCATGATCTGGGAAAGGAGGTGCTTGGAGTCTATCGTACCGTTCTTGACGTTCTCTCTCGAATGCACTCCTATTAAGGTGGGACCGCTGCGGCCGACTCCTACGTCAATATTGGCTGCGACGACTCTTCGGTTACCGGCACCACCTGCAGAAACTTTAACGAAATCAGCTACGTCGCTGCCCTTGGACCGAGACTGGATGTTTACGCCTCTCGATCACCTTCTCCGTTCGGGTCAGTCCGAGGTCTTCAAGTCGTTACCATCGTCGTGGGACTTTTCGGAAAAGGAGATGGTTCGGGCGACGTTGCTCTTGGCTAAGGTGCATCGCGAGATGTTGCTATTCCACGGGTTGCAGATCTTTGCACTCAATCGAGAAGAGACGGTCTTCTCGTGCATGAAGGTTTTCATGCTCGAACATGGGCAGCAGCAGGAAACTTCCGCAGAAGAAGTTTTCCGGGATTCAGCCGTTGGTCGTTTCATGGAAGATTTGCTGGCGCCTTTCACTCCTGCCGCGGTGAGGATGCTGCCATCACCCTCTCCAGAAGGCCCGTCGCTCGAAGAAGTCGCGAAAGCGTTCCTGGGTTCTGGCACACCATTCTACCAGTACTACATCGATTTTGTCGGCCTCTACGACTCTATCTCCTTTAGCCATCCCCTCTTTGCGCGTCTTCTTCTCCTACCTCTGGCCATGCGCTACCCCACAGATTACCGCAAATGCCTGTGGGCAGACTTTTACCAGGTCGTACGGACAATCAAGACGCCCATCGAGGCTGTCGTCTCGGGCGACATCCGGGAGTACCTCTGGCCCGCCGAGTCCGATTCGGAGATCATCTCAGCATATCTGCGCGCACTCGTGCAGGGCGCGACGCAGAGCGCGTTCATGCACCTCATCGCAGTCCACCACATCGCATGTAATATCTGGCCGGACCTCGGGCATGCTGCTGCTGGCGAGAAGGCCGTCAGACTCCTGCAGGCCGTCGTTTCGCAGGCGAATCCTGCAACGATTCGAGGCGTCGTGGCGTACCGCCAGGCCAAAGGAAAACTAGTATTGCCACCTGCATGCTTTGATAAGCTGGACGAGGTGAAGGACGCGCGAAGGGCGCTGATCCAGCTTGCGGGCCCTGCTGTAAATGATCGGCTGAAGTCGTTATTAGACTAATAGCGTATACTGTATTCTAGTGCTGTATAATATGCTACAATGTATCCTAGCTGCCTCGATATTATACTCTGCTGCGAACCCGGATGAGGGGGCAGTGTCCGACTAAAGGCCGTGGCAATGGTGCGCGTGCACAGCGCCCCCGCGTCCAGCGGTTATAAGCGCGTCGGTCTGAACGCATCTCCGATTAACCTTCGACATATTCAACATTCAACGTGTCCAGCATTCAATCCTGCTTGCTCTCACCATTCTAACTCTTGTCGAACCAAGTTTTCCGGGTCCCTCACTGCCGGGCGACATATATATTGCTAAGAGAGCTGCCCAGAGACCTCAGGTTGTGCTCGCTGGCAGTGAAAGTTCCAGCTCAGCATGGCTCAGCCTATGTACGACTTTGCCGCTGCACCTCACCCTCTCTTGACTTCGCCCACTTTGTATGTGGCAGACGTTACGAAACGCGTCAAGTGGCAACACCTCGAGGAAGTCTTCAAACTTTGTGGCACAGTGCGCAGCGGAGGCAAGAGCAATGGTGCATGCATGCCGGATCGGAAGAAATGGGCTGTGGTTTTCGAGAACATATATTACGGTAGGTGACCGATATCCCATACTAGTTTGAAACGGGCTAAATCTTCGCTTTATGCTAGCGGAAATGGCCCTAGCTACCCTGCAGGGCGCCGTGCTGCCTGGCGTTCACCCGCCGTTCGTGATGAGCTTGTCACACTCGCCACTGTTGGAAGCTACCGTGCCGGAAGATCGGTTGTTTCCGCAATTTGTTCAAGTCGATTCACCAGTTCATCCACTTCGTAACGTGCCCCCGCAGGTAGCGTTCAGCTACTTCCGAAATGCTGGCCCGTTGGTCTCGGTACGCGTCGACGTAGATGTCGGCTATGCTCATCGGACGTGCGTCATTGAATACTGGCAGGGGGAACATGCGAACCACGCGAGACTGAACCCTCGAATGTTACGCGTAGGATCTGCGCTATTGCCTCACCTTAGCCTTCGCACATATGATCCCTGTAAACTCTACTGCGCGGTAGGTGAGCTGATCGATATATGCTCCGTCTTCTTGCGTATTTATCACCATTTAGAAACTCGGTGCGACTTTCAAGACCGAAGATCTCTACCGGCATTTCAGCAAGGTCAGTTGTTAGCGTTGAGCTCGCTTAGCTGTGTTCTCAAAGCATTATTGTGCGGCCTGTAGTTTGGTCAAATTATCGAGTAGGTGGAAGTTGTGGTTCGAAGCGATTTTATTCACACCCCATCCGCTTCCAGGGCCCGGCTGATGCGAAGCGGCAGTCCAACAGCGTTTGCCTTTGTCTGCTTCCGTACTAGGGATCAAGGTAGTTGCTTGTCTAGGAAGCGATTTCAGCGTGAGCGCACTAATTTCAGAACTTCGCAGCTGAGAACGCCATACTGCAGACAAGAAAGCAAGCCATCGGAGGTTCCAGCGTCGAGGTCCGGTACCATGAACCCACTTTTCAGGGACTCTTTCGCGGGCCCCATTCTGCGCGCCCTGGCCCAGGGACCAAGGACAAGACCACAGCAGACAAACCACAACCAGTGAGTTGCGTATGATAGACATGCTCAGCTATCAAATGAAGCGTTTTGTTACGCAAAGCAGGAGGATAAGCCTTCGGCGAGCGCGAAGTCTGAGCCGACCCCGAGTCGTACCGCGCCAGAGAGGGACAGGCAGGAAGAGGAGGCTCTACGCCAACAGAAACAGGCGGCAGATGAAGCAGCGAAGAAGCGCAAGCGGCGCGAAGCTGCACTTTCGCAGCGACAGGACGCAGATCTGGCAGCGGACCAGGCGCGAGGTGCTGCGGCGGAAGCGCAGAGCAAGCACGATGCCGCGAAAGCGCAGCTGGCCACAACAAAGCAAGATTGCGATGTGACCAAACAGAGGTGGACGGAGGCGAATGAGGCCGTTCTTGAGGCCGAGCGGGTGCTGGAAAAGGCCAGGCAACATGCCGCTGGGGTTTCTCGGGCCGCTGGCGCCGCTGCAGGCAACGTGATGCAGGCGAAAAGTCGCGAAATCGACGCCCGGAGCCGTATGACTGAGGCTCTGGAGGAACAGCGCCGTGCTGAGAAGGAGCAAAGTGAGGTGTACGCTGGAACTCAAACCGTTCTAGACGAGACGGACGAGATAGCTGCGGAAGAAAAAAGACGGGAGGAATTGGCCGAGTCGATCCGAAGGCTGAAGGAGATGCGGGAGGCGGAGGAAGCAGATCGTCGAGAGAACGAAGAGAAGGCGAGGAGAGACAAGGAAGCTAATGAGCTTCGAGCTCAAGCCGAACGCGAGAGGAAAGCTCACGAGGAAGCAGAGAGAATCGCACAGGAGAAACGAGAGCAGGAGGAGCGAGAGGCGATACGCCAGAAGGCCTACCTTGTGGCGGCGGTGGCGGAGCGCGGTCGCTGCTTTAGACGCGACGTCTCTCAATGGAACATCGACAAGATGTTCAGCTGGACGAACAAACGAGCTATTGAGCGGTTCAATGCCGTCAGCGTCGAGTTTGACGAAATCAAATTTTGCGAGAGCCAGCCCCTCACCTTCCAGAGCGTGCCGTGGCCCATGTTGCGATCGCCACTTCATCTCACCGCGGAGGACATCGACTGGAGTGCAGTAGAGGAGTTCTTCCGCACAGCAAGGTTGGCTGTCGGAGAAGGTGAATATAAGACGATGGTCGAGAAGGCTCACCGTAGGTTCCACCCTGACAAGTGGAGGGCTCGTGGTCTTTTGAGAACAATTCTTGACGAGGATCTGAGTAAGCAATTAGAGGAGGTGGGGAATGTTGTCGCGCAGGCCATCACTCCGCTTTGGCTTGCTTCGAAGTCGAGGTGACGGCACCAGTAGATTCTTAACTACTTACTTGGTATTCACTGCATGAATTTTTTGCTCTCGTCTTGCCTGCAACTGCATTGACCTCGTGCTCGGTGGTAACTTGGATCTTTCGGCATGGCCGAACACGATAGGTGGAGGTTGCAGAGAGTTCGGCGTTTATATCAATTGGCGCTTGCGCCCCGGAGACGATCTCAAGCTCTCAAGCTCAAGTCCTAAGTCTCACTAATCATTCGTGAACATGCATTTCACTTCCTCAGGCTGACATTTCAACTTGTTGATCAGTGGTCGCATATGATGCAGGAACTGGCGCGGGGTGACTTCGTGTGTCTCGGCTGCAAGTACTGTAAACGTCGGATCGCCGCAGTGATATCTAGTGGGCCGTGATTGTCATTTTCTCTTCGTGGTACGTCGCCATGTTATTCCCTTATCTTTGTGTCGTTGATACAAAGATTTGTCAAACTTTTCAGACGATTAACTCCTGTCTCGACTCTTTCGCTGGCACCAGTATGTCTGAAGTCCAGCCAGGTCCAGCACGCGGCATGATACGCCGTGTAGAAGTACACAGTCGAGCTTTGCGTCATACCGCTGGCTCAGGGCGTGCATGGGTACGCTCATGAAATGACCTGCGGACGGCCGCGGCTGTAGCGACTGTCAAATTCCGAGCTGCTGTCCTAGGATTTGGACGCCGAACTGTCACAGATCAGTTCCTAGCGCTGGTATGCCGGGCGGTAACCACGTTGTCGCTAACCAGTGCGGTCGGTAGAGAACGACTGCGGTGAGTCACCTCTCACCAAGTACTACGAGCATTTTATCTTTACGGCCAGACAGACGTATTTGATACCCTCGGGATCTGACACGAATGACAACAAACTTCCGACAGGCGCCTCATCCACTGTTGAAAGAGCCCGTTTTATATTTCCCAGAAGTACCAAGGAGCGTTCCATGGGCCTCTGTTATACAAACATTTCGCCGCTGCGGCTCAGTCCTGAGCGCAGGAAAGCACAGCGCTTCGCCTGAGAGCAAAGCGTGGGCGGTGCGATTCTCAGATGTTTTTCAAGGTGTGTCGCCTCGCGAGCCCGCATGAGCGCCAAAGATGTCAACGCTCACGGTCGGATATTAGCTGAGAT